AACCCTCATAGCCCCCCCTTCCGATAGTCCGGCATATTTGATAATCCGGCACCCCCTGGGTCCCAAAGGTGCCGGATTATCAGAAGTTTACCGTATTTAGATCAAGAGAGTAATGAATACAGAGAAGTGAGTCAGATTATTCTGACCATGGCTTTGGCATTAAAAACTTAAAATTCTCCACTTTGAAAGCTGCAAGAACAAACCCTCATAGCCCCCCCTTCCGATAGTCCGGCATATTTGATAATCCGGCACCCCCTGGGTCCCAAAGGTGCCGGATTATCAGAAGTTTACCGTATTTAGATCAAGAGAGTAATGAATACAGAGAAGTGAGTCAGATTATTCTGACCATGGCTTTGGCATTAAAAACTTAAAATTCTCCACTTTGAAAGCTGCAAGAACAATAGAAATTGGACTACTTTCTGTTGTTAACTGAGGAAGGCAAAAAGGAAAGAGAATCCAGGGAAAAAGGTGAGACAACTGCCTTTTTTTAGTTTCTCATTTTAAGCATTAGTTGACACAAAATGGGAATTAAATATTTTTCAAGAGGCATTTTTGGTAGTTTATAGATGTTGCTCAAAGTTTTAGTGTTCCAGGACTTTGGCATGAGCTATAAATCACCACAGCACACCAAGGAAGAAACAGCCAGGAGCAGAGTAGAGAGAAAACTTAAAACATTACACATTTGGGAAAGTAATGCTTTCTACTATAACCAGTTTTCACTGAATTCTGCAGGCACATGGCCCGTAAAACTAAATTTAAATTAAAAATTGAAAGAATAAGCTATTGAACATTTTGCCAAATAGGCAATCTGGTGTAAGCCAATCCCCTCACCTCTTATCTAATTACTAACCAGAAGAAATGATTCACATATCAGCTGGCCCCTACCGTCTACTTATTGAATCAGGAGTTGAGAAAGGAACTTCCTTTTTTACATATGAGTCACCAGGAGGAAGAGAGGAGCTATTGATCCCTTTCTAGATTTTGAGTAAAATGATTATGGCCATCTCTTCCGTGAAAGGCTGTATCTCACAAGATAAATGTTACTTTGAGATCCTGATATGTGAACCAAAGGAATTCATCAAAATCTCCTAGCACGTATTCAGCATTTGTCTTATAGGTCAATCAAAGAGGCTAAGAGAAGAACAACTGGCATTACACCAGGGCAGAGAGAAGATTTTCCAATCAGAGTTAAAAAAGAAGGCTCTCTGCACATGCATTTGCTTTAACATAGACTCAAACAGCTACATGGGAATCTACTTCTTTTCCCAATGACTAGCATATAAGCCAAACAACATCTTGAAATCAGGACAAACTTCTTTTGTTATATGAAAAGAAATATGATATGTACATAATAGGAGATCCAGCCTTCCAAAATGGCAAAGTAATGTACCATACTCATTTTACCTTACCCACAACCATCTGCATTTTCACATAAGGTCAGTTTTGAACTGTACATCAAATATTGAGTAGCTTCTAGTAAGCTGATTTCCCAGATATATAGCAATACACCTAAGCATGCAGGATCAAGCTCTCAAGAACAGTAAAAAGGCTGTTATATCAGATTTGACATCAAGTTGCCATTCCAGAGTCAGACTTTTAAAACACAAACAAGCAAATACAAGTTGAATCTCTCTAGTCTAGCATCTTTGGGACTTGACCGGTTCTGAATCAGAGAATTTGCCGAATCATGGGAAGTCAATATTGTCTAGCAGCATTACCAATACTTACACTGCTTAAAAGACTCTTAAAATACATTTGGGGTAAATTAAAGCTAAATAACAGCACAGAATACTGTGTTTTGGCAGTAAACAAACATTATGGGACCACGGGAAAAGAGACCACACCCATTAAAAGTGGACATCCAGCTAAGAAAAATCATGTCAAATCACAGATGTTGCTGGATCAGAGAGTGCCAGACTAAGAAGTTTCAACCTGTATTAAGAAGCTGGCCTTCCCTTTAGCTGGTAATAACCTGTTCCTCTGTCCCTACAGTAATTTTATGCTGCTGTTGAACATCTGCTCTCTTGGTATTTTTCCATGCAGCTTGAGGTTTAACTTTGTGACTCCAGATTTACCTACTTGTCAATATGTCCACCCTGTACACATACATAGCCAATTATCACAGATTCTCTCTCAAATTTGTGGAACCTATAATACCCAAGATCCCTGTGAGAAAAGTTTAGACTTATAGAACTGCATTGCTGCTGTTCACTTACCAATGCAGGTGCGACTGTCATTGCTGCTGATCACATATCCCACAGGGCAGTAGCACATCCCTCCTGATGGTGAAGAATGGCAGTGGTACTGGCAGCTCAAGGCGGCACACTGGGATATGTCTAAAAACAAAATGGAGTCACTTCAGGAATGTCCATGAGTAGTGTCATCTGCAAAGCAGATGGCTGCATGGTTCTTTATAAATCATTACAAAGTCAAGGTGCCTATTGTGAAGAGCTTACGATTTACAGAACACATCCTGAAATTGGTCCAAAATGCAGGACAATGTAGCACTTTAAAGACTAACAAGATGGTTTATTAGATGATGAGCTTTCGTGGGCCAGACCCACTTCCATCAGCAAAGAACCATGCTCCCATGCAAAAATCAATATATGCAGCTGTGGCTGTAGGCTCAGACTCTAACTAGCCAATATAAAAATAGAAGGGGGAAGGGAACAATAAAAAAGTCAATGGTGAAGCTAAACACACATCTTGTTTGTTCCACAATACCAGGTGTGTTTGTGTGCATGCAGGCGTACACAGCTAATTTAGCAGGAGAGAGAGGCAGGAGAGCTAAGGTTTAGAGAACTCTTTGAGGATATGAGTTTTCAGGAAGCAGTGAGAGGATGAAATTCAGTCTTACATGAAAGCAATCAAATATACCACCAGTAAGAGCTCCATATAAATCACTGCACTGAGGCAGCCATTTAGAGCGCAGAGCTGCAAGCTTTATTGGTCCTAAAAAACTGAGCAGCTTGCTGCATATATCCTTGAGCGCCACTGATTGGCAACACTACTCTCCATCCCTATGTACATATATACAGACATTTCTCTTGTCTAGAGCACTTCTGCAACACCCACTAATCTTATTAATAGTGGGGTGGTCAGGAAAACATTTATATTCAGTTCATTAGCCAATGCAATATGAGTGTGAGAGTCAGGTTGCACTCATAAAAGAATATGTGAGTTTCTTTTTCCTCTACCTCTCCAGCTCTTCACTCCTTCTCCCCTTCCTTCCATCCTGAAAGCAGTTCCTTGCTAAGTGATGATATTGTGATAGCAGAGAGGTCCCTCTCTTCCTCCTTCTGCAGTTTCCTTGCCATACTTCTTTCTCCACTTTTTCTTCTGAAGCTACTCTCTGAGCAGCTCAGCTCTCTGATGCTACATTCACATCACGCAACAGGGATCAGAGATGCTTTCCCTTGACAAGATTTAGTGTTTGTTTACACTACCACTTTTGTCAGTCAGAAGTATGAAAAAAACCACACTTCCAACTGAGGTCAGTTTCACTGGCAAAATGGCTGGTGTGGAGAGCACTGTGTCTGCAGGAGAGGCTCTCTCCTCACTACTCATAGAGGGTACGTCTACACCACAACGTTAATTCGAACAAACTTAGTTCGAATTAGTTAATTCGAACTAAGCTAATTCGAACTAACGGATCCAAACTAAAAAACCAGTTCAAATTAGCGTTTTGCTAATTCGAACTAGCATGTCCACATTAAGTGGACCCTGAACCGGGGTTAAGGATGGCCGGAAGCAGTGCCGGCAGGGCATCAGAGGAGGACTTAGAGCGTGGAGATGCTGTCTCAGGCTAGCCGAGGGCTGTGCTTAAAGGGTCCCGACCCCCACCCCGGACACACAGTTCTCAGGGGTGCTCCGCTTGCAAAGCAGTCCTGGCTTGGATTGCCCGTAGTACCCAAACTGGGCACATCACAACACTCGGCCAT